TGAAACAATTAAAATTTACGGACCAAGTAAAAGGCCTTTAAGAAAGTAAAATTAGGGAATTTATTTATATTAAGATTAAGGGCAATTCACAACAGCGGGATCCAGAAATAAATGGTGGAATAGGCCGAGTCTCCAATCATAAGAGAGAAGCCTAAAGCGACACATTCCCGCAGGTACTGGGAGAAACGCACACTACACGCATTAACTAAAATGAAGAAAATGCATAGAGAGAGATAAGCTGTAAGCTTTTTGCCTCCTCCTGTACCTCCAATACATTGCCATTTGAGGGAGAATTTTGGTTCAGAAATTTTCAAGGGTGTTGTCTGTGAGGACCTGGTGGTGGTGGAGATGGGTGGCAGAGCTGGTGGTGGAGCATCATCTCAGATAAAGAAAGCGGCTAGAAGAATCTTTGTACAGACATGTGGCTCTTTTTGCCATAGACAACAAACCCATGTTCTTGATAACTCCACCAGCACGACTGCTACAGTAATTCTCATTCTCTATCTTTCTCCAAGAATTCTGAACTAAATTTGCACCATTTTTGTTAACGAAGATGCCCCAAATTTCTTCTGGTTCTGATTTTTAATTCACATTTTCTCGACCTGGTTAACAAAATTTTAAATCTTGAGATAAATTATGATTTTGTTCTTCAATTTATTTGGTAGGGTTCTAGTGATTCGCCTAGTAATTCTTCTTCTGCATATCCCAAGAAGAATTTTTCTTGCAATAAAGTCTCTTCAGAAATTGGGCAATCTGATTTAAGCGCTGACCCTTCTTCTAATAAGGTATCTTATTTATCGTAACGTTAGTATTTTCCCTTAGCAGAATGCCTTAAATTCATCTCTATTTGCTGGATACATTTGAAATATTTTTGAATTGGTGAATCTATTTACTTCTCTTATTTAATGCCTCATAATTTACTATAAATATCCTCATCTGAGTTTTATATTGTCAAAGTAATTTAAAAAGTTGAATTAAATTCTGGAATTTAGTCAAATTCTCATCGTGAAATCTTAATTCGTTGCCCCAACAGGTTGAGTTATACTCCCTCCGTCCTGTCCCAATTATATAGGCTTATTCATTTTTCACACGGATTCAGAAATCTTCTTTAGCCCCGTTTGCCCCCATTTTTTTGAAATGAAAATGGGTGAAATAATATTTTTTTGAAAAATGAGTGGATGAAAAAGAAGAAAATTTATGAAAATTTGTGTGGTTGAAATAGGTGAGAGAATTTAATGGGGTTCAAACGGTGACTTTAGAATTTAATGGGGTTCAAACGGTGACTTAGTGTCATTCGAAAATTAATTTTTGCCAAGAGTTTTCCCGGCTTACTCCTATTTAATTTTCAATATGTAGTAGTAAATTATTGTTGGGATTAGTAAAGAGTTTGAATGATTTAATTTGAAAAAATGAGAGTAGTTCCATGTTTACAAGAAGTGGGAAATTTGTGTATTTGGATGATTTCAAAAAATTGGCATATTAAGTGGGAAAATTGAATTAGAGTATATTGGTAGAGAAACAAAACAAAATATACTAAATTAGGAAACATGCCTATATATTTGGTACAAGAGAAAAAGGAAACTCAGTCTATATAATTGGGATGGAGAGAGTAGTAATTACTCTTAGACCTTCTACTATACGAACTATTTGTGGATTCCTTCGAATTAACTCCCAGGGATCTATAAACCCACCTGGCCCGACTCGGTTTTACACCCTATCTTATACGGTGTTTGTTCAACAAAATCAAGAGGTTGAAATTTTGAAGTCTTATTGATGAAATGAAACTTTACTCCACAAACTTATATAATGCATAGCAATATGAATCTATGGAATTGCTTATAGAAGGGAATGTGACATACATCATACATTGGATAAATGGAGGGATGAATAAGTTGCTTGAGAACATTAAATGTTATTAAGCTAAGAATAGTCATGTGAATCAATGTGATAAGCTATGAAGCATGGACACGGATACGAACAAAGACACGTGGATGCACGATTTTTCAAAGAAATTTTAACATGATACGTCGTCGACACGTTGGTTAAGTTCTTTAAAATTCTTCATTTATATAGTATAAATTTAGTTTTATACTTGTTATTAATTTTTCATATCAAAATCTTTTAAATATGAGTACAAATTTATTATTTAATAATAATTTTGAGTTAAAAATATATAGTACTCTTGATAAAGAGGAAAAAATAACCATGGCAAAGTGTCCAACAAGTGTTCGTATTCGACACATGTTGGATACGAACACGCTGCTATAGTTGAAGTGTCTGTGCTACAATAGTGATTAGTTAGTCCCCACAAATTTTCTACTATGTACCCGAGTTTTTGCCTTGTATAAGATTTTTATGCTTACGTTTTCTGTTTTCCGTTTTTCTCGCTATAGTTTCTTCTAGTTTCATTCGAAACATACTTCTATGTATCATGCATTTAATTTTTAGAGACCTTATGTATTTTCCTTCGTTTCTCTTGCAGAATTTGTGCCCTATATGTCTTGATCCTCTAAATTACAGCTCCGGCAGCAGTCCTGGCCAAGCAATATTCACAGCACAATGTTCTCATGCTTTCCATTTTGCATGCATCTTGTCAAATGTTAACCACGGCAGTGTCACTTGCCCAATTTGCCGTGCACATTGGACTCAGCTACCTCGCAACCTAAATACTCGATGTTCACTCCATTACAACAAGACTGATCCTATTCTAAGGATCCTTGATGATTCAATTGCTAATTTTCGGGTTCACAGGCGATCTTTTCTAAGATCTGCTCGATATGATGATGATGATCCGATCGAGCCTGACCACACGACTGATCAACCCCGTCTCTATCTCTCTCTAGTTCCATCACAAGATCATTTGTCTAGTTCTTCTCCAATGGCAGAATCACCACGTGCCGTACAACATTTTTCCCCAACCGGTGGAAATTCCTTTCTCTGCTCAACAAATAACAGAGCTTATCTTTCTGTAAAGTTAGCACATCAACCTGCAACTGATTTGGTCCTAGTTGCAAGCCCGAATGGGCCACACCTGAGGCTCATGAAGCAATCCATGGCACTCGTGGTATCCTCACTACGTCCCATGGATAGGTTGGCCATTGTTACCTACTCATCTGCTGCAGCACGCATTTTCCCTCTAAGGCGCATGACTTCATATGGAAAGCGAACAGCATTACAAGTCATTGATCGGTTATTCTATATGGGACAAGCGGATCCAATGGAAGGGCTAAAGAAAGGAGTAAAGATACTAGGTGATCGTGTCCACAAGAACCCGGAGTCATGTATCTTGCATTTGTCCGACAATCCATCAAGATCCTATCATCGATTTGACGTTGAAGTTTCAGTTAAAATCCATCGATTCCATGTAGGGTTTGGATATGGCACTTCAAATGGGTTTATCATGAATGCATTCGAAGAATTCCTTGCAAGAACTCTTGGAGGTGCGATTAGAGACATCCAGTTGAGGATTGGGGAAGGTGCTAGGATCATCAGCATCGGAGAACTCAGAGGTGGTGAGGAGAGGAAGATTCCAATATATTTAGGCGAGTCGAGACATGTTCGATTGGAGTTTAGCTATGTCGACAGTGAAGATGAGCACATGAGGACGGGTGAAACTGTTATTGGCATAATAGACGAAGGCGATAGAAATGACAGTGCAGATACCATTTCCATATGTGGTAGGACTAGCAGTGTTGAGAGTTGGGACTACCATGATCCTTTCCTGGCTAGAAGATGGGCTAAACATTTGCATGGCTATAGGCTATAACTTGTGCCATTTCTTGCAATCTTATAGAATTCTTATAACTAGATATTGATCGGATAGGATTGTTATTAGGCATCTCACCATTACATTACATTCATATGTCCCCTCAACTAGCAGTAAATGAAATCAAATTGTTTTACATTTCAGCTAACAAATATTCTTGGTTTCAACCATTTCTTATCCTATTCGATAACAGCATTGAACAGAATTAGTCACAAGACCAAAACCATTTTTTCCCTCAATGCTATCTAATCCTCAATATCGAACATGCTATAATTGAATGAGCACATAGTTAAGGGAGTTAGTGAGCAAAGAAAAACTGATTTACCCCATAGGCTAACCGACCCATGTCTAGCATGAGATTGAACGTCTAAATCCATCTAGTTGATTGAGACAGACAGTATAAACTATCAAGATATCCGAGTAACTTCTAGCCCAAATGCCAGATTGAGTAAATATGACCTTACATGGTTTAATCGAGTCTGCCAAACATGCTAAAAGGTTTTACAAAACCGAATCATCCCTTACAAGAGTAGGATAAATATTGCAGAAATTATCTTTTCCATTGACCAATGACTGTTATAACAATTATTCATGATGATAATCATAAACAGAGAAATCACTATACAGCAGAGAACCATTTTCGTAGTGAAGCATGTAATAACAAATATCACAAAAGTAGCAAGGATTCTCCGGAGCCCACTTGTCGTCCACTGTCACCTTTTCTGCCCGGTAAATCTTGCAAGCAGAGCATTTCCGATAACGCAACTTGAATTGAAATGTCACCAATGGATAGGCTGCTCGGTTTTGTACATCCTCGGGGTGAATCAACCTCATGTCTCTCAATACAATTAAATGCTTGCAATCCCCCTAGACAAACAACATAAACCAGTTCGAATAACTAAATGCAAAGGGCTTTGATCACAATGAAAATCCAGGAAATACATAAAATGCATACTTTGTACTCATGTCAAAACTGCTAGTACAAATATAACCTGTCACTTCCAGGTTCTAAATTTACATTAACTAAATATATGATAAAAATGGGGCAAATGTTTGCACAGCGTGACAGGTGGAAAAAGGGAAAGAAAAAATAACATAAACCAAACAAACGATGCTAAATGAAGCAATTAGCAACAACCACTCAAGCTTGACAAATTACAAATGATGGGATCCCAAAAGTACCTAGGGATATGGAATGGCTATATTTCGTGCTCCTAAATGTAGTTTTCAAAAAAGACAAAGAATGTTGAAAGGAATAATTGATCATTATAAGAAAGTCAAATAAAAAGATAGGTGGCACTTAACTCAGTAAATAATATAGATAACAACAATCTTAAATGCTAAGAAAAACCAATGGCAACATATGAAAATTCTTCGAATTTTTATCAATGGGCTTTTAGTAGAATTGACCTGCACATAAAACATTTTTATCTTGACAAAATTTTCTATTCCAACTTTCCGATCCTGGTCGTTGGGTCCAGGTGATTGGTAACAATGAGATGATTGTGGATGGGCGGGGTCCAGTACAAGTTGGTTCAATATGGGTCTTCACACATCCCGCCAAGTTAGGAATCACAGGCAGGTTCCTAACTGGATATTGAATTTGACCGCAGCGTGTTCGATTAAAACGTAAACCCCATTAAGAAACAGAAATTGAGGAAAAAGAAAGAGAACATACCTGGTGACAGTAAAGATATCCAGCACCAAGTCGAAACCTTAGGTCACAAAACCTTGTATTTTGCATGTGAAGAGCTTTAAACACAGGCAAATGTACTTTCTCGTTGCCCAAAAGTGCCCTTTGCTTTTGTTGTAATTCACCAGCAATGATGCATTCCCATTTTTCAAGTGCATCATCCTTAGAGTGCTCAAGCCAATCAAGTATGGGCTGGCTGTAGTCTATAGCGGAGTGTTCCCTCATATCATTGCAAAATACATCCTGCAAAAACATTCCAATTGGTGTTAGCAACTAGTTGGGGATAAAAGACATAGTTCATTTTCAGTAAACAAAGACAATGCTGAAATCTACTTCTATTAAGAAGTATCCAGAAGGATCATGCTGTCCCGCCTTTCTCATGATCACATCAGTCAAGCAATATATTTTGTCTCTCACTTCAGTCAAAAATTGCCGTCCAAGAACCAAAAATTCTTGAGTCTACAAACATATTAACATAATCATCAGTTGCTGTCAGAAGTGAAAGAAATCAAGGAGAAGAATAAGTCGCCAGAAACAAAAACATATATCCTAGAACGAGACCTACTTAATCAATTAGCATTAAAGTCAGCTTCTTTTAGGCTCAGGGCAGGAATGAATACAAGATTCCACAGAAAAGAATAGAAAACGTAAACAGGTGGCAAGATAGAAAAGGACAGAAAAACTACAATATATAACCCATGCAGTCTTCCCAGCAATAGATAATTTCTTCTAGTGCTAGATCAGAAAATTAAAGTCTCTCCAATCTTCACATGTAAGAACCTTCTTGATCCTTTATCTATCAGCTCATTTACCAAAGAGATTCTCTCAAACTACAAGCACTTAAAATATAAGATCTTTGGTATTCCAACAGCCCCACGGACCAGGTCCTGAACTTCTGTACCCATCCCCTAGTTAGCCATGCATCAATCTATGCATTCCATACAGCTACAAAGAGAGGAGAACAGAGCATTATAACAAATAAGAAAACAACCTTGTATTTAACCATGGAAATTCAGACACTGGGAAATTGTGTATCTTAACAAAGTTTATCTTGGTATAGTCCTCCAAATTATGGCAAGCTTTGTTCCAAAGAACATTTGGAACCTGGTAAGTAATCATGATTACAACGAACAAGTTCAAGTGAATGGTGATGAATACAACCCCAAGCGAAAAATAAGAATAAGGGAAAATGAAGAAACAAAGACTATTGTTTCAATAGCAAGAGTCGAGAATGTAACCAATGAAGATGGGTTTGATTCTTCGGCATTTGCAAACAACAGACTGGATTTACAAACTCACATCTAAAGGACATTGTCCAGTGCTTTATATTTCTATATTATATATCAAAACTTAAGCTAATATCATTTTAGCTGAATTGCATTCAATTAGAGAGATACAAAGTTCAAATGGTCCGGTAAAAAAACCAAAGATAAAAGATAGACAGAAATTGAAATCCAACAATAAATATCAGTTCTCTTTTGTGGATATTGAGATGCAAGAAAGTGGACGTGCTTTACCTTTAACCAAGAGCGCCTGTTATGGTATACCTCAAAGCAAAGGACAACCTCAGGAAAATGCACTGGTACACGTTCACAAGTATTAGAGGATTTCACCTGCCATGCGTTTGAAAGTGACATTAAACACCATAAAGGTTTGAATCAGCAAACAATGGAAGAAGAGATCAATTAATTGGACATCAATCATTATCATTCCATCAGCTTTAGGTTCCAAAAAGATGATTAAGCATTTTCTAGCTCCAACAACAACGACTAAGCACCCCTTTAAAGACAAAATTAGTGAAATTTTGGGTATAGAATGCATTTATCAACATGAAGACCAGTCCAGCTCTCCAAGTTTCCAGCATTTTTCTTTATTTTCCAAATGATACAAATCTTAGTAAATATGGTACCATACCATGAAAAAAAAAACCCTGAAGAATGAAATGTAGATATACATAAAGTGGAAATACTGTGAGAAATTGCAGAGTTATTTTAGATGATACAAAAAGTTGACCAAGAAGAAAAATGCAATCAAACTGATATCTTTTCTTTCAATAAAGTGATGATAATATTTTATCCTCGGTATCAAACAAAATGCAAATGCAAAAATAACAAGTCATAGTCATAGTCTACTTCATGAAAAGGAGGCCTTGACAGCTTGAGAGCCTCGTTAGCCTCCCAGTGAATTATTATAGCAGCACCCTTCAATGCATGCACACAAAAAAGATTTGTTACAACAACATGCTTAACCACACAGAAATATAAAAGAAAACCGCAAGTAGAAGTCTTGGCCTAGCATGCATATAAATTACTTAATTAGACAGTAAGCCCCATCTTTTTTAAGTACCATAGATACACAATGTCGAAACATCTTTAAACTTATTCCATGACTCAGAGAAAATCAATCAACAGGGACACCAACAGCATCTACATTGCTTATTTTCTTTTGTTATCCAGAGAAGGAAAAGGATATATGTATTAGCTTTCAAGTAATGAGTAGAAAATAAGAAACTTTACTAGCATTCTTATCCTCATTAATATATACAGAAATGTAAGATTAAATTCAATACGAAACAGAGAATTTACGAGCAATGCATAAATTTGGTAACCAGTGAACTGAATAAAACTCGAGCTATTAAAACAATATCCATATGCATCACACACATATGACAAGCAATGAAAGCAAATAGGCATTTAGGCAGTGAACCTTTGTTGAAGTACTTGTAGATTTGAGAGATCTTATTTTATCATCCTTCTTTGAGAATGCTGCTCCAGATCCAGAGGTACCACAACTACCACTGCCCAATCAAAAGATAAAAGGCTAAGGTGAACATAGAACAGGACAAGATGGATATATCTGGCTATGGAAGTGAATAAAAACTTTGAAAATTGCGTACTTAAATGAATGCAACCTAGCAGCCGCTTTATCTTCTTCTTGTTTTTGTTTAATCCTCGCAAGTTGCTCAACCTTTGCAGTATAGCTTTCCTAAGAAAAGGGGAGAATTTCAATAAAGAATAACATTAATTGAATCAATAAAGAAAGATAAACCAGTTACAGACACAACAAATATGCAACTGCTGAAGCAATTAGTATATTCTGTAATGAAAGGATGGATAGCAGTGTCATGGGTGCACAATCAACATCATGAACTTTACAGAGTTCAGGGTGTAAATGGTGGACAGTAATGTAGATAGCGTACATTTTGAGGGAGCAAACACCAATGCCACCTATTTAGCGGTGACACTAGGGAGAAAAATATGTACTGCATCCTGACAAGGCCTATGCCATTAAATTGATGTAAAGAGTGACATGGCTCATGGTTACTTTCCACTGTATTCTGAATATTTAACTTACTTTAAGCCTCACGAGATAATCACTGTCAAAACAAACAAATATTGAAGGGAATAAAGTTTTGTATATTCGGACCTAAACCCAAATCAACATAATGTCCAAATCAATCGACAAACAGCTATGACCTTGTAATCCTAATATAGATCTTGTACAGTAGTAGCACATTAAAGACATCCACTACCCAGTCAAAGATGGAATAAGAAAGAAAATTTGTTTGCCTAATGAAACCAAATTAAAACATCCCAACTATAATCTGCCAAATTGGGACAAACAGCAAATATCTTACTTCAATAAAATGGTTCTTCCTTTTGGTTCGCCTCTTCCTTTTCCCTGAAACGGTTTTATTAGATTTCCTGTTACAAGTCGTAAGAGGCAAATGATTCGGGGACTCGAGCGAAGATGACACGTGCACTGCCATTTCTGACCTTTCCAAACCAGTTTGCTCGGTGCTGGACACATTGTTATCTGTTCTTCTGAAAAATTCATATCGACGATGAGATGCTCAAATTTACCCTAGTAAATAGCAGCACATAAAATGATCTGATAACAACAATATCATCTACTCTCCTGAAAATTTCATATCAAAACTAGATGTAAATGAAATGCTCAAATTTACCCAGGTAAATAGCAGAACAGGTTATGATCTGATAATTAAAAATACTGAAGAAGAAAAATAATTGGTGGTGCAATGGACGTCCACTTTATCTGGTCCATAATCATATGCGACCACCTGGACTCCTTTCCGTGCGCACATAGTTTGGTTGTAGGTTTTGACACAGGGAAAGGCCAAAGGAGAATTCATTATTAACAACTTGATCAAACAAAAAACATAAAGTACAATTCATTGTTAACAAAAAATTCCTTGTCACGGGTTAAATGGTCAACTTGACTTTTTTGTGGCCATATTCACTGCATTTAAGACATTATTATTATATAAACATCTTTAATTTGAAGATAAATATTGACATTCAAACAAGAAACTATGGTTCATACAGTTTATTGACGTAAGTTACTCAACTAATCAATACAGGAGCTTCATGTGGGCTACAAACAGACAGATCAATCAATTGCTTTCTTATTTAACCTAATAAAGCAAGCTTTAAGAGGTTTCACCCTTTGGTTGTAGCAAAGTTAGATGATTTGTGAAGTCCTCCTAATCAGACACGTCTTTTTTTTATGTAAAAAATGGTCAATTTGACCAAGAAAGTCAAAGATGCTATATAAGTGGTGACGTATGGAGTATTTGTTTTCCATGTTTCCTGCAAGCAATGTCACTATATTACTAATATCAAAAG